TCTATTTAGTTCTGGGTTGGATGAATCTATTGAATACTAGTATTTTGAAGAAAGAACACGTCGGATTGCATTACATCAGTCTCTGGCACCCCAAAAATAGCACTGGGTGTTCGAGCTGCTCGGCTCATTGAGTGCTGGATCAGTGGTTAGACGTCCGGCAGCTCGGGCACTTTCATTGATCCCCGTCGGCTGACATTTGCTCAAAAGCGGCCCTAATAAACAGCTGGTGATCCAGAATGTGTTTACTTGATGTTCAGTAAGCCATTAAGAACAGTTACATCGCGATAGGACCTATTCTTTAAGGTGCTGAATGTGGTCCCCAGAAGACACCGCTAAGACGAACTCCATGGTTCCAGTAGGGCCCGTAAGATCTACGATCGAGCAGGCAGACATCTTGAAGAATTTGGTCCCGTCGTGCCAGTTCATTCATCCCCTTACCGGGGGATGCTATTTACACATACCACAGAGGTTTTCTCGGAGGGCGTAACGTTGGCTGGCAGCCAGAGGGGAGCAGGCGCCGCTCCCGCTCACTGGCTCGCACCGTCCACGAAGCTCGTGCTCTCTCGCTCCCTATGAAGTCCGTCTGTCTCCTGCACCGCTCTAGCTGCTATGAACTACGGGCAGCTGTGCTGAATTCGAAACGAGCATCCATCTATTTGAATTTTTCCATTCCGCCGGCACGAATGAATCCCTTTTATTTCGTTCTGAATTCGTCTGTCGTCTCTGGAAATTTTTCCAAGCGATTCTTTCGGAATGATTCATCTCTGTATTGAATACGATGGCTACAGAGGCCCTCATTCGAATTTCCGCCTTTTCTTTATCCACTGTTAACTGAAAGTTCTTTGTAGTTGTACTCTGAAAAATGATGTGTGTATGGGTGTTGTTTGTCAGAAAGGAAGCCGTCAGTCGGTCCCTTCTGCTTCCAGGCTGAAGGACGATTGTCGAACTTGTTCTTTAGGCGATGAGTCATCTCGTCGCGAAAGCTCATTCGGAAATTCGTCGTCGATTTCACAATACCCGCTCGTTTCCGTGGTTATAAAGCCCCTCAACTATAGCTGGAGCCACGTACTTCTTATTACTCTACGCTAGAAGCCTTCTAATAGTGGTGAAAATTGGACTTATTGACCTCTACCTAGTCCGGACAATTCGTTCAGTAAGTGATCATGCACAGTTGGAGAGCCGAGTTTTCGCATACCTTTTCAGTCATTTTTTCAAACATCACTTTCATTTCTGAAATAATTGCCAGTATTCGTTGGTCCCTCTGCATTCTCCGACATTTCTGTATCGTTCTATAAAAAGTGTTTTAAACGAAAATCCACCTCAATGGCAGCTCCGTTTGGTCATCTTTTCAGATTCCTCTGAAAAGATATTACACGGGGCTGGCATTCCCACGAGCGACCTTTTCGGCAGAGCTGATTTTAAATTCATTATTATTTGCCATATATGAACACACAATGCTATCATCAATAGCCTCCCATTGATCATTCAGTTTGGGTGCCTCTACAGCTACTGAAATTCTGCTTTCATGAGACTCTGAAATTTAATACAGTAGGTGATCAATCCTGTACTATCCCTGAGCTCATCGCACTTTTAAAATTTTCCGGTTTCATAATACTGACCGTCCTATGACCTTTCCGTAGGTGTGTAGTCAGTAAGTCCATAGGCAAACACCCCTAAAGGATCACTTATTCAATCAAAACTTTACCTACTTTAACTTTATTTGCTTTTCATCTAGTAGCCTCATGAAGGCAAGAATTTAGCTTCTGTAATTGATACCAGTTTTTCTACACAATATACTAATTTCAATTCATTTTTGAACTAAACTTTACAATATGTCTCTCTTTAGATGCTACTTGAAGTTGCGATTCATTTTAGTTTCGAATATATTACCGAGAAAAAGTTTATGTTCAGGTGGAATCGTTATAGGCGAAGTTCATAAATCCCTGCAACCCCCTACACCCACCACCTTAAATCTAGCCAGCTCTTGCAAGCATGGCTCACTCCCCCCTAAATTCGAGATAAAGTCAGACTGTGTTGGAACAACATCTTTTCGCAAAATCAACAACCATGAAGCAAGACCCTTGCTTTGAGAAGGTGATGGAGGAGATGTCAATGCTGTCGTCTTCAGCTTAGCGTTGATTATATTGGGCGCTGAAAGCATCAGAGATTCGTCTATAGCTAGGGTATCTCATCGAATCTGCCAGTCGCTCACAAGAGTGGCGGGTTATAGCTAAACTTCGACCGCGGACGGGACTTGAACCATTACTCGTGCTTCTCGAGTACCCCGCCGTCTCTTTCACTTCCGAAACCCTTCTTGTCGTAGCCTCCAAGCGATTCTCTCAGTGTGCTCTCCGATTTCTTTCAACGAAAACTAATTAGAAGGCATGTAACCAATTAGTATATATAGCATATGAGGATTCATTTAGTATAATATTGCATCGCAATATAGCTTAAGGCTTTTGACTCCTTATGAAGTCAATAAGGAGTCCCTACTTTTTATAAGTGTTCAACAGTTCAGATAAAAGCACATTCTGGCAGTGCAAGGTTTCTTATTCAGTGCCCACGCATAAGTGGGTACGGAAGTGACTTCTGAGGCGTTACTCGAAAAGTCGCAGCCGTGCCTGTCACTGTCACAAAGCAACAGCGTCATGGGAAGATGTTCCGAACAAAGGGAAGGGGAACGTGAATAACTTCTTTCTTCGAAGTGGGAAGGTGGAAAGGGAAATAACGCCAATTGCCACGATGAGCTTTCATGTCACTGACGTCTCTTTCTGCATCTCATGTAGATTAACCTTTGTTTCTTTTCTACATTTTGAAGTGTAGGTCCTGGTAGTCGCCCTCCTATGGGACTAACATGATTGGGGAGAGCTTTTTCGCTGTCGCAAAGTGTAACCGCAGCGTCAGAGGGATATCACCCTTCAATCTTCACCGCTGGTATTCACAAAATCACAACCCTGCTCAAATTACGTTACTTCAGATTAAGTTACATTTGATTCAAGGCAGTTCCGCAAACCCGGCAAAAGCCTGAATATAACCGTTTTATAAAAATCTAATCATTTAAGCTTGTTTAGTGAGAAGTCCCGGAAGGTGGATTCCAAGGAATCACTGTGAGTTTAACTGAACAGTCATCCAGACGCTTGAAAAACTGAAAACAGGTACTGTCATTTTCGGTGAATATGGTAAAGTCATAAGTTCCGTTAGCTGTAACTCTTTGTTTTAGACGAGAACAATGTTCTTTGTCTAGGGATGTTAAAAAATTAGCCCGCTCTTTTCCGTCTTCCTCCTAATCAAGCCAGCTCCCCGCTTAGCACTGTTCCGAGTAAAAGAAAAATCATAAGAGCGAGTTAAGGCAGCCAGCACAGGGAAAAACTGAAGTTTTTTTTGCGAGACACTGCACATATGTATGTTTCGTAGGCGTTTCTCCTGTACATGAAGAAACTCCTCATTATTCATCCAACTAGCCAGGCCCGGCAGAGCTTGACTGATTCCCAGTTTTTCCATTATCTGACTCATTTTCTGCAATCTTCTGCAAGATTGAGTGCTCAGAAATCAGAGGGATGTCGAGTTCTTTTTTTAA